CAAACGTTCCTGAAACACAAATTTACATTCCACATGTTTTAAAAGAGAAAGAGACTGATTACAGCATTTTTTGGGGGGTGCATTTTGCTTTTTGTAATCAGGAGTGTAACTGCAAACATTTCCATCTCCTAATCCCAATAGTCAAATGTTCTGAAAACAATTTCAAAAATCTGTCAATGCAGTGAAATCTTTGTAACACTTCCAATACAAATCTACTTGTAACATGACTTTTTGGAATCAAGTGTAATTTTCCTTCATTCTAGTGCTGTGATCAGCCTTATTTTGTCTGGTTTAAGATACTGACACGCTCAATCACCTCTTCAATTATATGAGGAAAACAAAACTTCTTAGACTCAAAACAGACAAAGTTGCTTTGTCCAGTGTTTTCTCCAGTAGAATATATAATTGGAAATAGACATTTTTTTAGTTTTGCAGACAGAATGTGAAGTTTGCATCCTCCAGCTACACCACATAACTAGCAGTGGCAGAGTAACAGAATAGCCAAAAACACGGTTTGTGGTATTTGTCCTACTGTACCTTGTCCTGTGTACAAACATTGGTGTGTATACCTTTTAAAAATTACATGCACCAAAAGTTTTCTTTCGCACTATTTGGTGTGTTTTTCCTTCTTTCATGGCACTTGGCGGGATCCAACGGACATTTCAGCAAGTCACCAAAGGAAAACATTTAGTAATTTAATTCATGAGAGTTTAAAAATGAGGATTTTCAATGTGTTAGTGTCATTTGAGATGACTTTTCCCTTTACAGTAATGTGCAGTGAAACTACTATAAATCTTTTATGGTCACAGGAATATTTTGAGCTTCTCAGCAAATCTAATATTTGGACTTCACATTTGTTGGCGTCACATATTCAAGAGGACTTGTTTACTACGATTTGTAATAAATTATTTGAAAGTCTTTCTTTGTCCTTTTTGGCTCCTCCAAGTACCGTTACCATAACAGCAGGAATAGATGTGCATCAAAATTGTGGTTGTGGCGGCGGTTGGCTTGACCATAGTGTTTTATGGTGCTGTTGCTGCTCTGACTTGTCTGTTTGTGAGCTGTCAGCGTCGTCTTTTTGCCCTGCAGAGTTATCAGTTGTGAATTTGTTTTTCATTGCATGAGAAACTAGAAGTGTAGCATGTGAGAAGTGTCAATTAAGTGGGCATCAAGGTCCATGCGTGACAGTTGGCAGCCCTAAACGATATATTTTCTTTAACATGTCACGTGCACCAGTGCATGTAGAGCTGAAGATTACGTGCACAGCTTAGATTTTACATGCACTACTGCGCATGTGCATGTGGTATTTAGAGCCCTGCAAAAGCAATGCACTATGTGTAGCACTGACCTCTGCGTTGACAAAGCTTCCTGACTTGGGTCAATAGGTAGAGGTCAAACCAGAGGGGGCAGACCTGTGTAATTAGCCTGGACATGGAAAAGCTGTACTAAATCAGAATAATGTCCCGAGTGTTAGGCTCGCCATAAATAGTGCTGTGCTCGATTCATTCATGTCAGTGGGTAATGTGTCTGCTGTGATTAATGTTAACAATAAGTATGTGTGTCAGCTTTTACAATCCGGGTGGCCACAGTGAGAATCAAAGCTCCAACTGTGGTCAGGTTGGCACCATCCAATACTAATTGAGCTACGCACGACCACAAGTCTGTGGTCCAACTGCAAACACATGTCCATTTGTTTCATTGCTTTATTCGTTTGTTTGTAAACAAGATGTGACAGTCCGTGGACGACAGCGAGGGAAGAGAACAAGGACAGTTTTGTTGCTTACGGTCAGGGGCAGGATCAATGCTAATCACATGACGGCCCGACAGGATTTCCATACTCAGATTGAGAGCACCTTACTTTGAAGCCCTGGTGAGGCGAGATGGATAGATGGGCATTGATCACATGACCACAAATAGACAAACACTGACATGCTCCAGTGAGAACACATTCACAATACAGGCCCTAAACCCTGAATGATGTACTGCCCTCAGCTTTGACAACATGATTAGAAAGACTCAGCTCTGGAGGAGAGCCTCGACCCCGGAGCTGGGGCTGAAACTTCTTCATCACCTCTGACACCATCTAATGACGCTCATTTGCAATATGACCTCCTGAACATTACCAGACTACTAGACCATGATAACCACACTAACAACTGCCTCCTCACTGGTTTTTAATTTGACGCTTTCCTAAAGGAGTAGTAGATCAAAGAACTTAAGGATGTGCAACACCTGAGTTCGCTCTGACACATTGAAGCCATTTAAGTACACTGTGTTATACTGGTATAATATGATGTGCCTCTTATAAGTCGAGGATTTCTGCATTATCTTTAAAGAGCCATGTGTTTTTAATGAGCACATAAAGGCCAGAAACACGCATCAAAGACCTAATTTGTCCAAAAGTCTGTGTACAGCTTTGTTTTGGTTCTATCAGCTCTGAAACTGTACAGTATAAGTGAGCAATGTTGTAATGTTCAGCATATAATATAAGCAAACGTTTATTGAAACTTCTGAGCGGGAATGGTCACGCGAAAAAACATCATCTCTAGTATGTCAAATACCACATCCATGTTCTCTGTTGGAGGAGAATTAAATTATGTTCTGTTTGGTTTAGTTTGAAGGGTACAGTTTGTTCTCTGCTGATTTTAGAGCACATGCAGAATAGCAGGAGGTGGCGCATGAGGGTACAAACTGCTGTATATGCAAGCTTGTGCACAGATTCAAATACCGTGCACCCAAATATATAGAAGGATGGTGTGCAGACACATGCATTGGTTAATATTTATTACATCACAGCCAGACCCCTTTAGTTTATCACAAAATTTCCACCTATCTTCTTTTAATCTGGAACTCAACCTACTAAATATCCTGCCAAGACAAAATATGACCTGATAGGTTTGGCCTCCATGGCCAAGTCCTCACATTCAAGATTTTCCTTTCCCCTCTAGAAAGTTCTTACCTACTTCCCACCACAATCAAGTGGCAAGAGCTGTTGAAATTGATGGATTGTGCTCCTAATGCCATGACCTGATGCCATTATAGTTAGTGACACGTTGCACCCTAATGGTTGAGCTCTTTATGTGCATGTGCGTTCAAAAGTGTATGTGTGTGTGCACATGTGCATGTGTGTGTCAGAGAGGACTGCAGGCGAGGGGAGGGAGGAAGAGACGCTAATTGAAATTCCTTCAGCCATGTCTGGCAGAGCCTTGGTGTCTGAGTGGCACACACACACACACACGCACACATGCACACACATATTCACACTGGCCCTGGCCCTAATAAAAGTGGGCTTTGCCATATGGAGGCCATGTGCAAGACTGGCCTCTCTGTGCTCGAGTGTGTATGCGCTCTTAGCAGGAGAGGCTTGTACAGCACCACAGACCCACAGACAGATGCATACAAACCTACGACATGTGTACAAAGTTGTGCAAGTGATAAAGATCCATTTATGAAGATTAGATTCCCAGACTTACACACACTTGACATGCCGTGGCAGATTCAAACGCATACAGCAATGCAGCGAGGGGGCCTGTTGTATAATCTTAAAGAAATTAGCTGGTGTTTTGGACGTCGCCCATCTCATTCAGCGAGCTGGCAGGGGAACTCTGTGCAGGTAAATGTGGGAGTAATGTTCTGTTCTCCCTCAACAACTACTGTCAATGTGCCCTCAGGCCATGCAGCTATTCTGAGCTGCGCAGAGAGCAAAAAAAACCTGTGTCAGTCCTGGAGAACTTCAAGATGTGTTTAACGAGAAGATAAAGTTGTGGACTACAGAATGATAACAGCTGATTTCCTGTTCTGGATCAGTTATAAATGATTATGATGACCTTTACAAGTCGTTAAAAGTATATTTCTTAGTGTAGAGATGAGATGTTCTGTTGCCATCAAATAGCTGTTGTGATGCAGTTTGGTTTTTAAGTAACTCAAAGCAAAGCAAACTTGTTACAGTAATTGTTACTGCACATTTTTCCTACAAGAGATTCCACAAAATGCATGCACTTTGCATTCATCATGCACTCATGCTCCTTCCTCCCTCAAATCCAACAGTAAAGGTATCTCAAGGTGCTTTAAAGGTACCAGTGGAGTTTCTCAGTGCCCCACAGTGGAGCACTACGAGCTGGGAGTCTTCCCAGCGTGAAAGAGTGTAACTGTGTGAATGTGAGTGGTGCTGACAAAAGAGCATGTGTGCTCTGTGACCCTTCTCAGGATAAATAAAGGTTAAAATCATATTTCACAGCCCTCAAAATGTGCGACCAAAAAAAGGAGCAAGAATGGCATGGTTACTACTTTACATCTGAGTCTGAATAACCTCATACTTAGCATATGCCCACCACTATTATAGCTGCAGCACAATAGCAGTGAGGAGTAAGTGGACTTGTCATTCTCCCCAGGGGTTTGGTAATAGCTGTGTTTTAGATATTTCCTCAAAGACGAAGAACTTTCTCTGGGCAATTTCTAATTGGTTCCAGTGGATCATCTCTCTTTTTTATCTTCCTGGCTTACTCATTTTGTTTTTTCCTCCCCTCTCCCGCTGTCATGCTCCCCCCTTTTCTAACTCTCTGTAGTCTGGCCCTACCTCGGCACATGGTGAGAGGGCTGCAAAGCACGCAGCTCTGTTATTTGTTCTTTTGCCCAGTCACCTGTCTTAATGTGCACGGTTGCCCAGGGTGGAAAACCAGAAACATGTCTCTCTACAGATATACACACGAGACACAGTGGGAGAAAACCAGTCCATAATTTGCTGCAGTGTTCTCTTTGGTGGTTACGGGCATAAAAATGTCGTTTCATAGCAAACTTCATAATGTGGACTTCCCTTTGCGCTCTTCTGTCAGTTTTTAGTGCAAGTAAAAAGTCTAAAGAGGAAATTAAATCACTCAACATCTAGTAAGAGCTTAAAAAATTCCCAGATGACCCTCAAATTCCCACAATCGATTTTCATGCGTAAAACCAGCTTAAAATATAAGGAACCAATGATGGACGTAATTGTTTAGTGGACTTACTGTATGGATCGTCCTCGCTTTTGGTGCCATTAACTTTTCCTTTCTTGTCAATGCGAAGGAAGAATTTCTGGTAGGAGAACAGTTTCCTCCGCCGCACATCTCCTTGCAGATGGTTGTAGCTGCTCCGCACATGGCGCCCGACGACCGTCGCGGAGGACGATGACACATTGGTTGCCCGTGGCAACCTCGCAGAGGATGCGTGCAGCGGTGCGGGCGATGAGGAGGGCGGCGGGCGTGAGATGAAGGCGTGAGGAGTCCCATGCGGTGCATTGTGGTCCCCTTCAGAGTCTGACGGTGTGGCGTACAGGGGTGAGGACGAGGAGGGTCCGAGCAGGAGAAGCAGGAGGAGGAAGGTGAAGGAGAGGATGAGTGAAGGAGGTCTGTAGCAGGGGCAGGTGGAGAACCAGGCGACCGATGCACCTTGTGTCACTGTCCATCTACACATGGTAGTGGAGCTGGGAGAGCTGTGGATGTGCTCAGGGGCTGGGGCATGCTGAGCTGGGTGCAGGGAGAGGGAACGAGAGTGGGAGAAACTCCCCCTGACCGACCGACTGCACCTCCTCTGTCTGGGGACCCACAACCTCACTGGGACTGTAGGTGCTGAAACCTGTGGAATGGCTGGCTGCGGTAGATGTGATGCAGCGTAATCGGTAATATTGGTGGTGATGGTGATGCAGCCGCTGTCGGTGGTGAAGCCTGCAGTGTTGTGGCTGACTCTGCTGTAGTCCCCGGTGCTGTTTATTCCTCACAAGCGCCGCAGGAATGCGTCAACATCCATAACTCAGATCACCTCGCAATGGGAGCAACTGGGGGTTCGCCTTTAAAGACCTCTCACAACCTCCTCCGTCTCCTCCCAGAACTGCCGCTCTTTGCTCCTGATTGCTTACGCACACACGCTCACACACACTCAAAATCCCTTTTAAAAGTTTGAATAGACACCTACTCTCTCACATCCAAAGACAAACACAGTTCATTCATATACACTGCTAAAAATCTACTCCACACACATGTCCCAGACCATTGATCTTCTCCAGTCCAGGGAGGTGGATCACAGGAAGGCGGAGGAGTCCTGGTTGAAAGATGCCAAACTGCTCAGAACAAATTGAATAAATAAAAACAGGAAGTCAAAACAATGATTTATGCTGCTTCTCATAAAATGTCCCGAGAAATCCACGCAAGGCAGGCCACACACAAAAAAAAGTCACAGAATCCAGACTTTCTTCTCTTCTTTTCTCTCTTTGTTTGTCTTGGTTTGTTGGAGCTGGTTTGAAGTTACTTGAGTGTGTAACTGAGCCCCGGCAGATCTCGTCTTTCTCCCCTCTCTTGTCGCGCGTCTTGTCAGTGAGCTGAGCTCCCTATCTCTCCTCTGTCCTCTCGGAGTCTGAGCGCTGGAGCAGTGCGTTGCCTCTCTTCTTTCCTCCTGTGTGTGGCTCTCTCTCCTTTGGCCCCCTCCCTCTTTCCTTTGCCTCTCCCTCTCTCCTATCTCTATCAGCGGTGCGCTCTCTGGTTATCTGGAGTTTCTCTGAGGTGACTGAATCTTGTCTTTCCTTTCACCTTATTTATCTGCTGCAGTTCCCCAGATGTCATCTCTTAGTGTAATTGGATGTCTATGAAAACCACTTGGCTTTGAAGAGCTGTATGCGTTTATGTGTGCGTGCATGTGTCTGCACATGTACGTGTGTGTGTGTTTGTGTGTGTGCATGTGTGTGTGTGTACGGGGGGGGGGGGGGGGGGGGGGGGGGGGGGGGGGGGGGGGGGGGGGGGGGGGGGGATCTGTCCCACCCCGTTTTGTCTTTCCCTCCCTCTCCCTCTCCCTCCTTTCTCTGTCTCCTCCCCTTCCCAGACAAAACCCCACCAGTTGAGCAGAGCAGGTCCGGCAGAAAACCCTTCTTCATATCTCTCTCCTTTTGCTCTCAGCTCCATCGTTCTAACATTTCTGTCTTCCCAATTATTGCTGTGTATTGTTTGAAATTTTTCAATACTAGTGCTGATACGATATCTGAGTTTTGGTATATACGGTCCCAAATTGCTGTGTTTCCATACAAAACTTTTTTTATTTTCATTTAACAAATAAATCCAAAGCTCTGAAATGTTAAATGTGCATCACAAGAATGTTGCTTTAATACAGTCGTCTGAAACTGGCAAAATTTTATTTAAAATCAGGCACAAACTGAAGAAGATAATGACTGTGATCCATTCAGTGACACCTTTGGACAGTTTTGAATTCTCTAGGTTAGTTTAGGACTAGGACTGCAACTAACAGTTATTTTCATTGTTGATTAATCTCAATTCTCAATGAATCAATTGGCTGTTTGGTCTATAAAATGTCAGAAAGTGGTTAAAAATGTCCAAGCCCAAGATGATGTCCTCAAATGTCTTGTTTTGTCCCCAGCCCAAAGATATTCAGTTTTTAGTTTTTAAAGAAACCAGAAAATATTCACATTTAAGATGAGAATTCAGATAATTTTTTACCTTTTTTCCTTGAAAAGTGAATTTGCCGATTAATTCAATAGTTGATAACTAAACGATTTTTGTTGCGGCTCTAATTCAATGACACCTTTGAACAGTGTTTTTTTCTACAGGCTGTGTTGGGACATATTTTGGTCAATACCAGAACAATATTGAACCTTATTATAAGTAGGGCTGGGCAATGCATTGATATTATATCAATACTGTGACAACTTTGATTTTGGATATCATCATGTTATGTTGGCTTTTCCTGGTTTTAAAAGCTGCAGTACAGTGAAGTGATGTCATTGTCTGAACTTACCAGGCTGTTATATCCACATTACTGGTGATTATTTATCAAAATTTTCATTGTGTAAATATTTCATGAAAGCACCAAGAGTCAACCTAAAAATAGCATTGCAGTATTGATATCAAAGTATAAAGTAAAGTACCGGTATATCATGATATTCGATTTTCTCCATATCTTACCTTATTATAAGTTGTATATCATAGTCTCTACTAGTTTTCAGTACATAATGATTGCCAGGGTCGTAACCTAAATGAATGGCAGTTTAAAGTTCATAGTTCACCCATAAATAAAAGATGAGCATAGCGTTACTTTAGGCAGAGCTCTGAAGTTGCGCTTGCATTAGCTGATTGGCATCAGCTCCTTCATTCATGCTTCACAATCACTGGCTCATTCAGAGCTCTGCGGCTGCCAGCTGACTCGTAACATCCAATCATATTCATGCAGGTGTGCAGCGCGGCCATTTTTAACCTGACACCTCACTGGACGTCTCCCCCCATCACTACAACTGCTGTTCATTCAGCCAAAGAGCAGAGCCTTTTCTGCCAAATCTAACTTGCTGTAAATGCTTAGTTTATTGACACACACAAGTGACTCTGACTAATTTTTCTGATTAGTTCCTCTTGTCCAGTTGAAGGGATGCTCATTAGCAAAATTATCTCTTGTAGTGTTTGTGACAGTATTAAAGAAAGCTATGAATCCTCCACCCTCCATGACACATAGTTACCTTTGTCTGATAATGGCCAAAGTTTCTTCCCTGTGAAGATGCACAGACCCGCTCTGAGCTGAGTTGAGTCCGCCTCAGCTATTTTGACAGATTCTATCAAGTGATTTCTTTACTTGGAGCTTAATCTTTAGATAAACATCTCTTTGTGTTTGGATGGAAAAAGTTGTACCTTACGTGTGTTGCTGCGTTTCACATTTCAAGAATCTAGGTCTGCTGTCTGGTTTCAGCATTGTTTAATTTCCTTTTCACATTGTCAGACGACAGCCATATCTCCGCCCCTGCTTCTCCTCCTCTCTCTTCTCCTCATGAGTTTGTCGGTTATGACTGGAACTACTAACCTCTATCCAAAGTATGCAGCAGATAGATTTAAGTTATCACAGTCCACTGGGTTTCTTCCTTCTTTTAACCCCTCAGTGGCAATCCATCGTGCATTAGTGCTTTGGGATTTTTGAATAATTCCTTTTGGCGATGCACCAACAGAACTATGTCTTATGTCTTATGTATACACAGCATTTCCCTCTAAAGTGGTTAATTTTAACTAGGATTGTTGGATGCTGCCTATAGTCTGTCATTTACGTCAACGTGTAGCAAACATTTTCTGATTCCAGCTTGTCGGTTGTGAGATTTTGTCATTTTTCTCTCACGTTTTAGTAGTTTAGTTTTAGACTGTTGGTTTGACATTTTATGAAGCACATGATTCATGGAGAATACATGCCCTGCACTTGTTCAGGTCAACACCTGCAGAGTAAGTTCAGCACCACGGACAGCACTTTACGATGTAGTTCTCCACCATCCCGTATGTAATCAAACATCCTTGCTTTAAGATATCGTGAAGTTTCCACAGTTATTTGTCACGCTTTGAGACATTTTTCGGGTTGAGTGAGCCATAAGAGGATTCTCTGAGGCAGACATGATTCTATCTGAAGAAAAACAACCTCAAGCCGTGTTGCATTTTGGTTGCTATATACAGGGTTCCCATGGGTCCTTGAATCATTAAAATTTATGAATTTAATGTGAAAAAATTTACGGCCCTAAAGTTTTTGAAAATAAACATAAAACTAGAAGTGTGTGGTGCTATATTTTCTGCAGAGATTTCACCCTCTGCCTTTATTTTCTTATTTTCTGTGTTTGGGACATTTATGGGCATGTACCCCACAGCGCTCAGGTGAGGTTACGCCTTTATAAAAAGGTAGCGAGCAGGTGCTAGACTGTAAGCAGCAGGCATTCAAGACACACAGCTCAGAAAAATACAAATATAGTGAGGTGAGAGTGAATCTGGGGTTGACTGACAAACAGCAACTGACAATCCTGCACAGTATACTTTTAACATTGTACATGCACTCTTTTTTATTGTTGCCTACAAGCTTCTGTAGAGCCTGCTAGTTCTCCGCATAAAAATGTTCAGTGTTGTGACAGTAATTAACTTTGATCCATGTCTAAAAACTATGCCATATAGGGTCCTTAAATTTGAAGGAATTGGGACTGGAACACCTTGAAAAGTCCTTGAATTTGATATTTAAGATGGTGTGGAAAGCTGGAAATTAGATTTCTGTTTCACATCCATATCTCATTTATGCTGATGCGTAGCAAGGCAAGGCAGCTTTATTTGTTCATCACATTTCATACACCAGGGCAATTCAAAGTGCTTTACAGAGCAATAAAATATATAAACATAATAAAGGATACAGATTTGCAATAAAAGATATAAAAAGATAAAATGAATGACTAAAATATGTACTTTAAAAAAAAAAAAAAAAGTCATCATTAAAAATATCAAACGTGCAGATGAGGTGAAAAGATTAAAATGATTTAAAATTGAGTTTTAAAAGTAATTTTGCTGTCATCACAGATGATGTAACTTATTGCAGTAAAATGAAAACATCCTCTCATTTATTGTAAGTCTAGTTAGTTGATTAAACGAGGCCCTGGGCAGAAATTAATCCACAAGTATTTAGGTAATGAACTAATAATTTTCTGACATTCTATCAATGAAATAGTTAAGAAAATAATCAACAGACAATACTCATTAGTTGCAGCACTGACGTGATATTTTTTTGGTTGACCTTTATAAGTAGTTATATATTATTAGTTGGGGCTGAGGATACTGTTGATCACAGGCACTCACACATAGTGCCTAGCATGTTAAATGTGGCGATAAAGGCATGACACTATCTAAATGAATGAATGGGAAAAATGGAAATTCGCAGGGAAGAACAAAGGAGTGACAAAGAAGAGACAGAAAATGCCAAGAGATAGAGTGAA